TTTCCCATATTCGTTTTCTGTATTTACTGAAAAGTTATTTTAAACTGTGGTCCTCACCGCTCCCCAAATGAAATAATTACATGGGTTTAGGTCCGGGGATCGAGGTGGCCATTTTAAAGGGGCATTATTTCCTCTACCTATCCACCTGTTAGACCTTTAATAACCTGTAATACCTACATGTACCCTGTAATACCTGTAACCTGTAATATCTGGTCTTTTAATACTCGAAAGCCAACCTCTGCCGCTAAACGCCTTTTATTTACTTGAGGAATTTCTTCGACCCTTTCCAAAATTTGTTCCTCTAGCTGAATAATTCCGGCTGTACATTATCGACGATTTAATGTTACAGGTAAAAAACGTCCTGTTTCCCTAAGGCGTCTCTCCGCATCAGCAATTGTAGCAATCGTTTAAAAAAATGGCAACATTGATAAGCACATACATCACAATCAACAGCCGCTATTTCCCTATTTTTTTAACAATAACTTTGAGAGGTTTATTATTTAAAATTCCTTAGAGAGGCTGTTTTAATTGGAACACTATTGTTTTCTTTTTTATGGCAGATTCGTTTAGTGTTTAAGATAGATTTTACTAATAAAAACACTTAATTTTCAACAAATTTTATTATCTTAATATTTAATTGAACTTACAATATTGAGAATAATATATTTTACACATTATTTCAGTTTCTTAAAACACAAACAAATAAATATGGCACTTTTGTAATTTCTACTACAATTTTACGAAATCTTGCAATCTTCACCCTCTAAATCCTTAGAAATCTGACCTCCTTTAAGGACAGTATTGACAACTGCTCTTGCTAGGTAACCTGTAGATCGAACGTAAGGGCTTTCTAGAAGGTTCGATACTTTTTCTTCCTTCAAACCATGATCCTAAAGTGAAATAAAGTTAACATCTGACATTTTCTACAAATATTGCAGATGTAACACAAAAAAAATGAGCAATTTTTACCTTGGCGTACATATGCGCAGCGTCGTTAATGAGTTGTTCCAAATCTAAAGGCTGATTGAACGTTAACTCGGGATTTCTGCCGAGAATTGTAAACACAATGGTTAATAATTCAACAATGAGCTGCCGGTACTCCGGCTGTTGAATGTGATTCAGCATCTGAAAGGGGATACAAAAATGTGTTTTTTCTTTATCTGTTGGGTATTTTGCAACACGTGAGAATATTTCTTAACAAAATTAGAGAAATAAATACTTGTGCTAAAAGCGTCAGCAAAAATCGTTTTGCCTAACATAAAATCCCACAAAAAAAAATTTGGACAATTTAAATTTGGTGGTTTTTACAAAATACAAAACACATCACTACATTTGTGCAGCGGGTTAAGACGCTATACACAGACATTTGCAAAGTGCATTTTCAACTTTTATCTTAGTCCACTTTCCATTTATCACGCGCATTTGTTGGTCCTTCGAGCCGGATCATTAATTTCAAACTTATATTTTTATTTTCCAATTAATGAGTACTAAACAGTAACCTCACACAATGTATGTTCATTTAAAAACAAATGACAATGCTGATAGTGCATTAATACGCAAATTCCAGTTGCCCCGGTTTACGCTCAGCTAATTATTCAGTATTTATTTGATTTAAAAAAATCGTATTCAGGAGAACATATACTCCCAAAAAACTGGCCTTCACTTATAGTTACACCCTGTATAGTGATATGTTTTTTGTATTTCGTGTTTGCGTTTTTCGGTCTGAGATTTTTGGTTAGACAAAACTATTTTCAAAAAAATTACCCTCGACTGTTCCTTTTAGCGTACAAATATTTTTTAATTTCTTCTCACAAGTGCCAAAATATCCGATAAATAAAGAAAAAACCAAAAAAAAATGCCACAAATAAGTAACTTCTAACAATACAGGGTAGCCCATCGAAAATGTACCGCAAGGCATTACAGGGTAGTAAAGAAATTTTCGGCAAAATCCAAAAACAGGTCAAATTTGTTTCTGAGGGGGACAACTTTTGGCTCAAAATGCATACCAAAATCTTCAACCCCCTAAGTGGGGGTGCTATCCCCTAAATTTTTTTCAAAAGGGAATGGGGGTCAAGTGGGGGGGGGTCATTAGAAAGGGCTTTTAATTGAGTCTTACTTTTTGAAAATCGATTCCTTATTTTAGAAAATATGCAGCTTTGAAAATACGAACAATATTTTTGACGAGAAATGCAAAAATTGATTTAATTTTACTTCAAAACTTACGGTATAAGTCAAGTAAATGCTGAAAATGTTGTCCGCCAACTTGCATACAATGATACAGGTTGTCTTCAAACCGTTGTCGAACATTCTGGAGCACTTGCGGTGTTACTTCGCGACATACATTAATGATTCGTCCTCGCAGATCTTCCAAGGTATCAGGTGGAGTGCTGTAAACTTTGCTTTTAATGTGCCCCCAGAGAAAGAAATCTAAAGGATTTAAGTCGGGTGACCGAGGGGGCCACTCAATTGCACCTCTTCGTCCTATCCAGCGTCCTGGAAACGTCTCATTTAGGTAATTGCGCACATTGAGCGAGTAATGTGGAGGAGCTCCGTCTTGCTGGAAAATCAGTTCGTGTTCATTGTAAGCAGGGTCGTCCTCTATGATATTTGTTAGAGCTGGGTCGATGACATTTTGTAGTAAATCCAAGTACATATCGCCTGTCAAATTTCCAGGAAGGAAAAAAGGACCTACAATGGAATTTCCAAAAATACCTGCCCATACATTCAACTTCTGGGGGTGTTGGGAGTGTGTCTCATGGAAAATCCTTGGATTGGTATCAGCCCAGTAACGACAATTATGGCGATTCACTAAACCATTCAAGAAGAACGTACACTCGTCCGAAAAACACACATTAAAGAGGAAATTATCGTTTATCGCTCGTTCAGTCATTATTTCGCAAAATTGCAAACGACGATCAAAATCGTCTTCATTTAGCTCTTGCACTAGCCGAATCTTATAAGGATGGAATTTGTATTTTTTTAATATTCGTTGGACACTTGTACGACTCACTCCTGTCGCAGTAGCCAATTGCATTGTACTCAGCGTACTATCCATTGCCACTTGCCCCAATACCGCTATTTCCGTAGGTTCATTTAGTACCGGATTTTCAACCTGCCTCTTTTTGTTATGAACGGAGCCAGTTTCGCGAAATTTGGCCACCAATTCGCGAACAATTTTTCCAGACGCATGTTTCTCAGGATGCCGTTGGTTGAACAGTTCGGCGACCCGATTTCCGCATTCATTGTTTTTGAAAAAAAGCTCAATAATTTCTACTCTTTCTGGAATTGAGTACACCATAATTAATCAATTTAAAAGACTCGGCAGTATTGGTACTCTTCAACTACAAGTCACAAGACAGTTATCTAGCAACTTCTTGTGGCCTATCTAAATACGAAACAAAAAGCGGACAATTTTTTGCTCACCAAAATCAGGCTAAAGAATTCGCAAATCAGAAAAAAAACAGCGAATTCTTTTGAAGGAATTTACCAAGCTAATACCGTAAGTTTTGAAGTAAAATTAAATCGATTTTCGCATTTCTCGTCAAAAATATTGTTCGTATTTTCAAAGCTGCATATTTTCTAAAATAATGGATCGATTTTCAAAAAGTAAGAATCGATGTATAGAGAATTAAAAGCCCTTTCTAATGACCCCCCACTTGACCCCCATTCCCATTTAAAAAAATTTGGGGGATGGCACCCCCACTTAGGGGGTTGAAGATTTTGCTATGTTTTTTGCGCCAAAAGTTGTCCCCCTCAGAAGCAAACTTTACCTGTCTTTGGATTTTGTCGAAAAGTTCATTACTACCCTGTAATGCCTTGCGGTATGTTTTCGATGGGCTACCCTGTATAAACAAATGTATTTCCCGTTAATTGCGGTAATTTCACTCACCTCTTCGACTAGAAGTGAAAAAGTTATTTCAGATCGTGTCATATTAGAAAGAGTAGGTTGTTGAGGGATCACGTTTCCTGAAACCTTGATACCTTGCGGGGTTCTCATCATTACGTCCCACACATGACTGTAGAATGAGGAAGGCACCCTACACAGACATCCCTCCAACTGTCTCTTCTGCCTAGGAGTGAGCCTGAAGAACAAATTGGTTCAACGATGACAATCAAGTTCCACCAAAAAGTAAAACGGCTTAAACTTACTGTTCTTTGGCGCCCCACTCCTTGATAGACAGCACCTTGAACAAAAGCTGCCTGACCTCGTAAGGGCTGTGGTCCTCTATTTTCTTCTTATCCCCGAATATCTGCAAATAGTACTTGATGGCTTCTAAGACCCATCCCACTCTAAATTTTAAGATACCATGGAACAACTCTGGGTTGGTACCAATCAATCGTCCGCAGTACAAAATGACTTCTTGCTGTAAGACAGCTTGAATAACGTCATAGGGCTGAATGGTGTTGTAGACCACCGCTTGGATCTCCGCTGGAGTCATGGGCTTGTCGAAAACCGTCTCCTTTTGCCCAATCACTCCCACCGTCAACTACAACACGTTTTTAGACGAGCTTAAGTACGTTTCTAAGTCGATTTACTTATTATTTTGTACCTGTTTGCCATGAACAAGAACGGCCGTTATAAACGGACTGATGGAATCGACAGTGTGGTGTAATAAGCTGCTGATATATCTTACAGCTGCCCAGTGGCGTAAACCGCCCGCCTTGTGATACAAACTCTGAAGGTGATCTTCTACCGTAAGGTCCTGCATCATAAAATCACTTCCTTCTCTGTTCAGTAAAATACCAAACAGCTGACAACGGGCGTATATGCTTTCTATGTTTTTAATAGCTTCGATTATTTCATTCGTTGATTTATTTTTAAAGTGCTAAAAATAATTGTGAAGATATCTCCGTTTTGCTTCTATTTTTTTTTCTTACCGAATAATCTTTTAGTTCGTCTTGATAGTTAAGGACCCTAGGAATGTCGGTCAAGCTCTGATATCCTATGTAGTCATGTTCCAGTTGCATAAATTGGTTAAAGTCATCAGTTGGATAGTCCAGAGCATCCATGAAATCCAAATGTTCTAAAATAATTATTTTGGCATTTAAATCAGATGGTTTTTCGTCGATCTCACCAGCGAATACTTCACTGACTCAATCAATTCATGTCCGCTGCAATGGGATAGAATAAATCCGCGGTTGGGAACAAAAAACAGGTGTTAAGTAACTGAGACTGTGAAATATTTGCAGACAACCCCAATGCATAAAAAATGAGGAGATAACCACACTACCAAAAAATGTACATGTATTGCGGAAACCCCACTGCGATTATCAGCAATAGTTTTAAAATTGTTGCGAATCATTTGTTCAAATGGAAATCTCAATTTTTCAGGAAATTTTCTAATTCAACATAAATTTCTGATCACATTTCCTCTCCTATACTCTATATCTAAAGATTGTTTTCGAGAAATCACAGTTTTGTTTTAAATTCTTAATAATGTTCTACAGGAGGTTCTACAAGAATTTGAGTATAATTTCGAGTCGAATATTGCCAAGTAGTTAACGGAGGTCAATTCGAAGAAATATTGAATATTTCGCACAAAAATTAATGAGTACCACCACTGTAAAAAGCGTTTTTTTGCGATTTTTTTTTTTAATGGAAGGAAAAGAGGATAATAATATTCAAGGATGTTATGTGTTTAAGTGTTCAAAAAATTATTTATTCATAAACCATACAAAATGACGCTGTTGGAGCCATTCTTGCAAAAAGCGAAAATTTGCAATGAATAGAAAGAAAGTTGTTGCAATTATGCTGGGCCGTTCAAAAAAATCGTTTTTCAAACCATCTGTTAGTATTAACGACATCTATTGGTAGTATTACAGGAGTTAAAAATCAAAAGATGTCTATGTGCCACAGGTAGTCGCTTCAGAACAGTTCGACGCGCCTGGAAGAGCTCAGAATTTAAAAAAAAAATTTGTACAGGCAAACTTTTTTCTCTTATTCTGAAGGTTCAAAGCGCCTTTGAAAACAAAAAAAAAGGATTAAATTCACGATGAATTTAAAAAACAAAAAAAAGGATTTTCATAAAATCTACAATCAACTGGCATTTTGGAGACGTCTCTAATGCTAATCTTGAAAACGTTTGAAATTTTGATACATTTTTATGCAATTAATTCTGTTTCATTCATTTGAATAGCTCATTAAGCAATACCTTAATATTTCTATGTATTGCAATAAATAAATTTTAAAATTTTTGTATAAATAAATAACACAAATTGCCATGCCATGACTAAGAATTGCAACCCCAACCCCCAACCACAGCCTGTCTGAAACGAATTCGCTGATTGCAGAGAATAACTGCGGGATTGTGGGCGATTTCCTGCAACAATGTACATATTGCGAACAGTGTGGTTACTCCCCCCGTCGTAAAACGATCCTTACCCACACAAGAGCTGGATATAAGGTTCTGCAACCTCCCGATCCGGACCTTAACGGTGTCGCAGTACCCCTTCTTCAACATAGCAAGCAAATCCAGCATTTCCTTGAACTGCGGATCCCTCATATGCTCCTCTCTTATCAACAAACACACGGTGGGCCTCCCGGACAGCCTCCAGTACCGCCCAACAAACTGCAACTCTGTTTTAATATCGTCTATTAATAGCGCCATGTCGCGGTACAAATAAAAATCAGAAACCTCGAAGATAAGCGGGTAGCAGAGCACCGTCGCCCCCGCAACTCTATACACTTTGCTGGTTCCTAAGCTACCAACGGGCCTGAGGGGTCGTCCCTGCAGCTGTAACTTGTGATTGACTCCCAAGTTTCCGTAGACTTTTACGAGTTGCGTGGAGGACCAGATCTGGACAGGTTCCACTTCGTGAGGGGTTTGAGTTTGGATGCCGTAGGTGGCCATCATAGCTTGCAAACGCATGGATTCTGCTATTAGCACAATTTGGACCACTAGGTCTGTCGCTGTTCCCTAGATTTGAGAATTATATTATTTCGGGACATGCATGTAATGAGAGGAAAGTAATAGATCCTATGCTGCGTAAAAATAAATAAAAGAATAAAATTAAAATGAGATTCACAACCATCATAAATAAATCGTTTCTGTTTCTGTAAGACACATATTGTTTTAAAAATTATATTGATTTTCATTAATCGTGAGCATGCACCGACAAAATATTAAATTTTCTAAAAATATCCTTCAGTAGAAAGTAGAAATAAAATATTAGAGTCAACAATTATCGTTTAAATTGTAATTTTACATTTTAGAGACCTACGCTTTGATATAATTGGTTTATTCCTGTTTTTCCAACTAATCATTACATATTTTGAGAAACAACTTATGAAACATATGAACTAAAATTGAGAGCACGATGACTTTTGTTCCTATAAACATGATGTTATGAAAAAGCAGTTATTCTAAGCAATTCTGCAGATGAGGCATTATATCATTGCTGTCTTTTAATTTATATTTGAAGTGTAAAAAACTAATAACTTTAAAGCATTGCTCACATTTAATAGAAATCTATATTTTAACAGAAATTATAGATATAAAAAAAAATTACATTTAATAAAATAAGGCACACTATGAAGCAATTAATTAATGCAAGCCTAGAAGACAAAAAGAAAAAAACTATATCTAGAGAAAATAACAAACAAAAAAAAAACAAACTACATTAGTTCCAATACAACAGTTTAGTGACTAACACTACAAATATTAGTGGAAGCAGTTTTTTACTTACAAAACAGCGCTTTGCCTGGGTTCATGAAAAGAAAAAATCAAGTTATGGTCCAATTTTGTTCAAATTGTTTTTTGAAGTGAGAAAATATTGATAAGTGCACTAGAAAACTGAATTGAAAATCTGATTTACTCATATTTTCATTATTTCTTTAAAAATTATCGGCCCCCTGTAAGTAAGGGAGGCACTTCCAAAAATTGCACTCACAGAATTTGTGGGTGCGGGTAAATATTTAAAGGGTATCAGCAGAAGTGGTCTCACTAGACGATCATCGACACACTCAGCTCCCCTAGACAAGGAAGGAAGACTAAATGGAAATAATATATAGTCTATACCTTACAACAGGCATGTGTAGGTACAATGTAAGTGGCTCCATCTATGGATGAACAATAAATCCCTGCAATATTTATTTTTTTATAAAACATTCTAACACCAAAAATGATAATAAATGTGACTGACCGAACTTAGCAGGAGTAAAATTAGTTTTATTATTTCACGTAAAATTTAATTAGAAACAATTTGGCGCGAGGAGGATCAGGAAAGCTAATGTTTAATTTTCTGGATTATGTTTATCGTCTTAGTAGAATTACTGGTATACTTGTTAATTACTAGGCCAAAAGTAATGTTAAAATAATTCCTTGGGGATACTTTCAACTTATAATAATCGATTATGGATAAGCCTTGACTTACCTGGAAAGCCGAGTACCTCCCTCCTTTTCGTGGTCTATTATACGAAGGTAAATATCTACGGATAAGATCCAGTTCATTTATGTGTAACAGACCGGCAGTCAATAACTGGGCTAACACAAACAATGCCTGGTTCCAGAGAAACAGCCCACCTTCCGTATGTGCCTTTTTGTGGGCTATACCGGGCTCCAGTTTTTCTCTTTCAACGTCTTCTTTACTAACGTAGTAATACATGGGAATTACAGGATCTAAAACAAAGCGGCACTTGTAAAACATAACAAAAACGTTGTAAACAATGTAACAGATTACCTCCATTGTGATCTAACAAAATTCTTTCCTTTAGCAGATCTTGGTACTCTTGAATTTGATCAGGAAGTGACTTGAAAACACCGTCTATAATCAAGTATATGTAGAACAAGGGCCATTCACATTCTATATTTTCAAAGTGCTTTATTTCTCCTTTTTCGTAATAACTGCAAACATGCCATTTTAAAAAGTAACGAATGAAAACGAAAAATATTTACCGTTTACTAGAATTTTCAATGACCGTTTTATAACCATCTCTTATGTATCGTTTAAACCCATAACTTCCCTTTAACGATTTTATGATACTGTTCTTAGTTTCTTGATACAAGACGTCTTCATGTGTAGAAAATGAAGGAAAAGATATAGTCGACAGAAGCGATGAATCCACATCCTAAAACCATATTGAAAATTGGCATATACCACAGTAAATATTATAATTGCACATTTACTTTAGATGAGGACTCTCTCGGTAACAAAGTTTCGAAAATACTTCTATTTCTGTTATGAGCATCGATATCAACATAGACAACGCTCCAAGAAGCTCCTTTTTCACCAAATAAATTGCAACCGTTTATTGCCTCCAGTGCTGCTTTCGCAAGGCCTATTGAACTGGCATGAATTTCTGGAGTTCCGTCGTTGTATTTGCTACCCCTTTCCCACATACCATAATCGGGTGTACGATAGGCTCTTTCCACGTAGTAAACCAAGTTTTGAACAAACGCTACCTCGTCCTATGCATAAAAAGTATTTCTTTTCATCTTATCTTGTTATCTCTTTATATTTACCTGTGTGTAAATAATCTGCAAACCAGAAGTGATCATTTGCACAAGAAATAATAAATAGATAGACACAACATCAATTTGCAAATGATTATATTCATCGTCTGTATAAACCTCGCTGCCTGTTGTTAAATGAAATTTCACATGTAAGGCATGGGCACTGCATTGATTTTTTTTGAAAAGTTCAATTCGTTTAGCCTGTTTAATCCAGCATTCTAAAATACCTCTCATGCACTTCACTGCCGACTGGCCTAATTCATAAGACTTGCCTCTGTCATCATCTATCCTCCTATAATAATATAATTAGGTTTGACAAATAAAATCTGAATAATTACCTGTAAGATTGGTATAGTCCCCATACTGCAGCTGCACAATAAACACTTTCACGAACGCTTCCTATTTCTGTATCAGATGATAACACGGGAAATAATCCAGTAATAGGACTTTGGTAGTGTAATAGCTGTCTTTTTACTAAAACACAATTGATGACTGAACTTCGTAATTAGATTATTGCATTTAATGTACCTATTCCATAATAAATATCCAGCTGACGTACAGTATCCTCATAATTTGCTACTTTTAAAAACTGATCCAAGTAGATGCTATCATCTATGATACTGCTCTGCCTAGTCATCCTGGAAAGAAACGTTTATTACGATTGTTTCTGTATACTGAAACTTTAGGATTTACATTTTTTTCTTAATCCCCATTATGTGCAATGGGTTATTTAAAAATAAGCTATATTTAAATTCAGAAGCAAAGTCACTACAAGGGCGATCTACTAAAGGGTTATGTTCTTATGTTTACTATTTAGTATTTACACATCGAAATTTTACGTCACTTTGATAATTCCGAAAAATGAAAAATCGATATTTATTTAGTGTAATTAATTATCTACAGTTGGTTACAATGGCGTGACCTGTCATGTGTCAAAAAATTGTTTTTAATTAACATAAAATGAATGACGATGACAAAATGATTGAAGACGAACCTTTAACGTTGGGTCAGCCATTGAGTGATTTTCTTTTGCAGTTGGAGGATTACACACCCACAGTAAGAACGGTTATATTTAATACATCTTTATATACATATTCTACTTTTCCAATAGTAATAAAAAAAACTAATGATTTAGTACTTACTGTTTAAAAATATTACTAATTTCTATGTAGATTCCAGATGCAGTAACAGCTTACTATTTACGGGCCTCAGGTTTTGAACCAAGAGATCCTAGACTGGTGCGATTAATATCAATAGCTGCACAAAAGTTTATATCTGATATTGCCAATGATGCACTTCAACACTGTAAAATGAGGTCCACTAATTCTTCAAGTCATAGTAGTTCAAAGGTTTGTTTGAAAATGTAGGCATTTGTAAATATAAATTTAATATACTTTTTCTTTATAGAGTAAACAGGGCACAAAGGACAGGAGGTACTGCCTTACAATGGAGGATTTAACACCAGCTTTGGCAGAGTTTGGTATTACAATAAAAAAACCGCACTACTATGTTTGAAATCGTGTTTATCTTTATGTGGATTCAATAATTTAAAATATAGTGTTATTAACTGACTCAAACTAATTTGTTGGAAAGTAAATATATTTGGATTATGAATATACTGTCGAATTATTTCACTTATATCTTCCTACAGCACTAAATACAAAGAAATAGACACTGGACAGCAAGTATTTTATAAGTGGGTAGATTCGATATTTTTTAAATTATATGGCCGATTGTTTCAAAATTATAAACTACTAAACGGATTAAAAAAATATATTTTTATTGCATTAACAAATAAATTCACTTAAATTACGAGTTCTCGTCTAAGAATTTTTGCAATAGGTTATTTGCGAGTGGTATCGTTAAATACTCTGTACCTTCAACCGATCTCTTCAGCTTTACCATTTTGTGGTCTACAAATTCAGTTAACTGAGCCCTCAGAGCCAAATCCGAGCTTACGATGAATGCTTCCCTACAAGCCATATACAGATCTTTAAAAGCTAAGCCCTGGTAATACTGTTTTTTGGAATTCTCCAGTTGATGTTTAACGATAATAATATATATGCTTTTGGAATTTGTCGTGAGTGATAAAAATACGTTTCTTAATGACGATAAGGCCAACGTTCCACTTTGCTGGATCATCATAGAACGTTCAAATGATGTTTCCTCCAGATAAGGTAAAAAAGATGTAACATCCCACCATATATAGTTGAATTTACTCAATTTGTTGTGATCCCAAATCAGTGGAGCATTAATATGGTCTATCGAAGCAATTAAATGAATATTTTTAACTGCAGCCAACCTGGCTAATATATTCTGTGACTTACTATTTTTTATCATTTCTCCTTCAATGTTGTGAATAATTAAATATAGACGTAATTCAGGCATACTTGTAAGTTCTTGAATAATTAATTCACATGCTTCATTGATATTTGAAGGGACATCCTGTAACTCAAACAAATCAATTAAAATCCCGTCCAAAATATTTTTGATTGATAATGTTGGAAAGAATCCATTGACGACGATAACTGGATGATCATTTAAATACTGATTTTGAAAACTTTGGAGAATGTTTTTCTTAGATCCAAGTCCATATAACAGTATGTTAAAGTTTTCATTTAAAAGATACAGCCATTTCGTAAAGAAACTTTCGTTAATTTCAGATAATCTTTTCATCGCTTTTTCATGTTTTTCAGAGAGTTTCATATTTTTCAATAATTTCTGTAATTGATACTGTGGTAATCTTGGAGTTTCTAACTTATCTAATGTATTGTTGGAGGTCTGAATTTTCTTTGATGCTGTATTTGCGAAATATTCATCCGAGTTTATAGTGTACTTGCCTCTGGCTTTTGTTCTTGCTGGTTGTAGCTGTGTATCAACGAATTTTACTTTGTTTTGTAAAGATTTAATCTTATCTTTAGGTGGTTCTGGTTCTTCATCACTGCTTTGTGTTCTCTCATTACTATGATCTTCACTCTCTGAGCTACTACTCGCACTTGAAGAAATTTCGTATTCACTGCCACTTTCTTCATATTCGGCCTCCAAGAGTTTCTGAATTTTAGTCCTAGTTTTACGTCTTACAACATGAGGAGTTTTTTGGACACAAGTTTCTGCAACCTTTTGAGCAAGAGCATCACGTTGCCTTCTACTCTGAAATTTGAAAATTTCTTCTCCAGCTACAATTTCGTTATCGTGCAGAAGTTTCGGTTTTTCTATGTCCACGTTAAGATATTCTTCCTCTTCAGACAAATAACGATAATCCTCGTCACTACTGATAACCTGCACAAAGCCAGAATTTCTCAACTTTGATATGTATAGGGACTCCAGTGCCTTGAGACTAGGTTTAGATCGACGAGATGTCTTTCTAACAGGTGTTACACTACTTGATGCCATAATAATAAAAAAATAGAAATATTTAATGTTTACTTTAGAAATACGGATCTTCAATTAGTTCAAGTATTCAAGAAAATGTTAGGTTAGGAAGTTTCCCGCCATATCATAAGGTACGTTCAACTTGTTTCTACTTTATATCCTTAAACACGTTCAACATATTCCTCTTGTATATTAATTTTAATCTTGATTGATGGGCGTGTTTATTTTCGAAAATAAAAGTAAAGAAACCAAATTCCAAGAACAGTTTTTGCATTTTATAAAATAATAATTTAGGTATATCAAAATAGTATGACTTTCTTACTCAACCGCGCCACGCGCCGCGCCTTTATTCCATGGCTAGAAATTGGCCTCAATGATTTGGGATCGAGGGGGATTATCCCTCTTTATCCTGCCTCATCTCGTGTAGGCCTGGACAGCCTTCGTAGGTGGGCCCCATCCGTCATCTACCCCGACCGCAAATGCGGCCGATGTAGGCGCTTTGTGGAACCTCCTTTTGTCCTGGCTGGGCCCCGCCGGCTAGGGCCCTTTCTTCTGGCGCTCTTCTTGCTTACTTACTCAACCATTTACAATCGTTTTCTGACAATCTCCTCTAAGTGCAATAGCAAATCATTCTGATTGCAATGATGTGAAGTTATAGGTCAGTACATGGGCGTAACTAGGCCGCGGCCCCCCTAATTGGCGTTGCATGCTGCAAGTTTCAGAAAGTGTTTAGGTTTTGAAATTTTATATCGGTAGGTCGCAGACTGCGTGACCTCTTTTTAGAATAAAACGAAAAATGTCTGTTTTGAGGTGTGTGCTTATTTTTGAGAGGCTTTCATAGAGCTTGCAGCCCTGAACCCACCTCTAGCAAAAATCCTAGCTACGCCCACGAGTCAGTACTGTCAGTAGATGTGAAGTTAAATTGAGGACCTTGCACAGATCACAGAAACAATGGACCTTGATTTGGGTATATATTAACAAACCTTATTTCTTATGAAATACTTTATTTTAAAATCACAATCAATAAAATTAAATTAACAAAATCAGTCTAGATACGGTAAAACATAGTTATCACAAACAGACATATTTATATGCCACATAAAATGATTGATTCCAGGAACTGTAATGATTTTTAGCTTCCCTTTTTTATCTAAAGTTCTTAAACCTATACGATCTTCTTTGTAAATATCACGATTCATAAAATTTATCACTGTCCCATTGTCATTAAAATATCCAAATTGACTGAAATCAAAGACAAAATACTGATCTTGAATTTAAGAAACAATAAATAAATTCCAGGTGCAAACAGGCATAAACAAAAAAAAAAGAAAAATTTATAGCAAAATTAAATAATTAAACTTAATAATAATACCTGGACTGCCATGGGGTGATCACATTATCATCAGGGCCACCAATAAGTACCATCATATCTAACTTGGTAAGGGCATTTTTAAAATCAGTACTTTTAGCCGATTCTATCTCATTATTCACATATGGCAAGAACTGTGAATAATTGAAATATAACGGTTGATGGTATGGATCTTTCCAATAGTTTCCGACAGAAGTATGTTGACCGACTCTTGAATAAAATAACTCGAATGCTGTTTTCAATGCTAGTCCAGGGAAAAATATATGTAAGAATTGAGCTACAACAAAAGTTTATTGATTCCAGTAATCATGATAGAGCTTAATAAATCTTACTTCCATATTGGCCTGCTTGAGGACCACTTAACGATATAAATCGATGAATATTGTGATCTGGATTGGCTTGCAGAATAGTTCTAGCTAAGAGGGCTCCTTGTGAGTAGCCTAGAAAATTAACACCATCAGGGTACTTTTGACTGATATTTACTATTTCCTCCCCAATTTCATTCACTTGGTACCACATATTGTCTAGACTTGACCATCCCCCAAACTTTTCAATATTATAAACAATTGTACCAGGATGTTTCTAAAACAGTTAGTACTTAAATTATACTTGTATTTGTTTGAAAAGGGTACATGTCTATTTGTTATATCGCACTTACCTCTTCTATTTCACTCTTTATTAATTCCATACTTTCATAACCAGTCATTATGCCATGCAATAAAATCACGGGTTTATAAGCAACGATAAATGATGAAAAACTAAGTACTGCGAAAAATAATAAGCACATATTAATTTGTTTCATACTTTAAAACTGAGATCTTCCTTATTTGTTTCTAGTTACAAAATTAGAGAGCAAATACTGGTTTTTTAATTATTATCTTAATCTTTTCTACGTAACGCAGTGATTTACGTAGTGCATTAATGATACGACAAAGTTATACTAATTTTATTCATGATTGCACCACAGACGACACTATTCAATATTAGTATTTATATTGTAATTTTGAGGTTGTGTATTGTGTCATTAAACAAAGAAATTTTATAAATAGAATTATAAGAACAGGATCTTTTTTCTTTTCAAATCAAAATATTAAATATTTAAAGTCCCTAGAGAGCCACTGTATATGAAATGACTTTCCTACCCCATCTACATCTCAGTTCAGTAAAATTTGTAATAATCTTTTTTAAATGGTAGAATCCTCCATAAAATTTTGTCTGTGGCGCCATCTACAGTAGCTATATAAAGTACATAAATTACAATCCAGGTTTCTTATTTAAGATTTCTAATATGTCACCATCTACATTTTGAATATTTAAAGTTTCTCTCAAATAGAAGAGTACTTTCTTAGGATTCTGGCTTTGGTGTCATGCACACTGCCATGTTCGTAAAATCTATCAATACGGATGAATCATTTAACTACGCTCCACTAGATGGCACACTAGTTCAAGGTTATTTATTATAAGATTTAAATGCGATTATTTATTAATTGTTAATGTATTAGTGTATTAATTTTTTATGAATTAAAATAATTATTAGTATTCCTATCTACACATTTTCGTGCACGCATGCTCGCTAGTTTTGAGGTCCTGTAAACAATTATTCCTTGTTAATGGAGTAAATTTTATCTTTTTTAAATTTAACAATGAAAAATAATAATTTCAGTTACAGCAAAAATTTTAAATCAGTTTCAACGCAAAAAGCAATTCTTAGGAGTTACCCTTAACCCTTAAATGTAAATTCTGTTTTAAATATGTACCTACTTGGATACTGGACAAACATCTCTAATATTTCTCGACAAACTCTGGTTTAGTTGTTTCCCCATTCCACCCGGGGAAACATAAAATACAACAATGTAGCAGTTAAACCGCTACCGGAGAGCCCTTTAAGACAGCTGTATATTTTCTACGAGCCATAAACAAGAAACCAAAGAGGAATTGTGAAATCTTGGTGCCGAGGTTTATCTGTGATGGTGTGAACCAGCAGGTGGTATTTTCTTAGGTCTTAGAGGGTCGGCCGCCAAGCTATACGCACTCTCAGACAAACTCCTGCAGATTTATTGTTGCTCCTTCATTACGGTAACGGCTCGGGATACGGAACCCGCTTTAAGATGTTATTTCGTGGTTTTTTATAAAGGGAATTAATACAGTGGACGTAATGACGTAGATTTCGTCCAGGAATATATTTTTTGTGATCTTGTATGCATCAAATATTAATAAATATGGGCGTCCCAGGCACCAAGAGTACGAAAAAGGCGGAAAATTTTAATTTAGTAGCCGATATGCGATCAAATCAGAAAATTTTATAATTGTTATCACTCGCAGTGATCTAGACATAGAATTCTCTCTAAAAAAACATAGGAATGGGGATTAATCTGAGTCTCCTGAGTGAATTTTCATAAGACCCTGTTAAAAAATTCATGTAAGTACATGAAAACTAGTTTAAAATCCTATTATTTATAAGTTGTGGCACTGAATTAATCAATTAAATGTAGTAATGCCTGCTGAAATTTTCCACAACATTGTATTAACAAACATGGAGTAATGCCAGCACAGAACATCCCTAACTAACAACGGAATTCTTACTCTTGTTCAATAGGGGTCAGGCTCTGCGACGCCATCTCTTGTTTCGTTCTATGTACTACTGAGAAGTGGAGCCCGCGAAATTTGAATTTTATTTTATTGAAATTTATTATTGTAGTTAACATATTAAATGTTAATTTAACATGTTAATTATTAGCATTACTATTTAATATGCGAGCAATTATCATGTTAAATTAGCATTTAATATGTTAAATTCTACTGAAGTCTAGTTATTTGTAACGAGGACATTGCATCAAATTAAAAAAGTAGGTTACATGAAAAAAGGCTATAAAATGAAAAGCACAACATAATAAGTAAGTATTAGTTTATTTCAAAAGGTCAATATAAATCAAAAGTGTGAGACATATACAGTGCTATTTTTTTTAAATCTGACATAGGCCAACTTTTTTATTTGAAGTGATAGACTAGTACTTCCAAATACAAAGTTGTAGGAAATAACTTGATAAAGAAAAATTTACAAATAATTCTTTTCGGTGTTGCCAGATTTCTGCAGTACTTTAACATAATTTGACAAACCTTCAAATTCTAAATAGAAAATGTTATGTCACATTTCCTTATTTTGGAGTAGTCGTTTTCGAATAATCAGCAAAAACAACGAAAATAATCTGCAGTCGGCAGGAACTAAAAGAAGCTAAAACAGCAATAGTAGGCTTTGGATATTGAACAAAAATTGTGTTGTTTGAAAGGAGCTATCATTATTGTATTGTCATTGTGTTATTTGAAAGCTGTTGTATTTGAATGGGTATAAAAGTAACGTTTTAATTCAATTATGAAGATGATTTTCAGCCTTTTGCAGATCCTACCAGTTGTTTTCAGTTTTACTAACAATAAATTAGTTTTTAAAAACTCCGGATTTGGAAAAGGCTTATCGAAATGTCTAGCGTGGAATTCAGCGCACGCATTGCGTATACTTAAGCCATTCATTAACATGAAGAAAAATTAATTCAACTTTCTCTTTTGGATTAAATAACTGATTCATCTTAGCAACTGAATTAAAACGTTATTTTTATACACATTCAAATACAACAGCTTTCAAATAACAGAATGACAATATAGTAATGATAGCTCCTTTCAATCAACACAATTTTTGTTTAATATCCAAGGCCTACTATTGGTGTTTTAGCTTCCTTTAGTTCCTGCCGACTGCAGATTATTTTCGTTATTTTTGCTGAATATTCGAAAACGGCTACTCCAATAAGGAAATGTGACATAATATTTTTTATTGAGAATTTGAATACAATACACATATAAGATATTATTTGGTTACATGCAGTAGAAAACACACAATTAAAGAAAAGTGGATTTGGAGAGTTATCTTTTGTATTGTCCAGAAATGTTGGTTAGTTCCTGGTTAATCAACTGCAGAAAACCAGAGTCGATGTTCGATCACACCTCTTGGTAGCCTCGCCAATTCTCGAACTGAATCTTCGCTGTTGCTTCTTGCTCTTGGCTTTTCTAGATTTTGAGGATTTTTGGTGTTGTCGTCGAATGTTGTAGAGTTTCTGGATTTATGTTCATCACGTTATCATCAGGTCTAGGCTGATATTTGTTGATTTTTTGCTGTTTTACTAGAAAATTCGAAACACCGGTGATTTTCTTTTCGGTCTTTCGCAGTCACTATGTCAACAGCATCGGTTCCTGCTCTAATTTGGTGTATCTAGAGCGGTTTCGTGTTCCGTGGACAGCTCCAGTGATTCGAATTCGAATCTTGATAGGCGCTGTCTTGGTGGTTTTAGTGACAGGCTCGAAATTCTCGAGCAGTGCTGCTCCACTCGAACAATTTAAAGTTTTCTCGGATTCTAGGGGCAATATTTAGCTTTGCTTCAGAACATGGGTGAAATTCTCACATGACAGTTTGTTTAACTTTGAGGTTAAATTTCGTCCTGAGAGAGCGCTTTTGCGAGTAATTTTCGTGTTATTTTAGATTTATTGCAGCGCATGCTCATGGTAATGTAAGTAAAACATTTTTAACTATAAATTGACTCGGTTTCCTTTTATTTAAATTAAAATGGAAGGTTCTGTTGGCCATCATCTACATTGTAGAAAAAAGAAACGTACTGTGTACGAACAGTGATTTTTAATAACATTTAACTCTAGATAAATCAAGAACAGAAAATTTTTCGCCAACTCCGTCTCGGCGGCGATATTTCAACTCGAGAGGATCCCATTAAGTCCGCCGTCCGTGAAATCTGTATTGAAAGATTTTCGGACACGGCAGAGTTTGATACGCATTTGGGAGTGTTAGCGGAGAAGGAGAACGTAATCCCGTGTCAGCCGGAGCGATAGATGACCCGGGCACCTGCAACTACTAGGATTTTTCACACGCGGCTTCGTGGAGTGTGGGACTAGGACACAGCGAGTTCGGAAGGACGGGGAAAAACGACGTTGCGTTTGGAGTCTGAGGATTTGCTTGAAAAAAATCTACATTTGATTTTGAAAATAATTTACGTTTTCATATAAAGAAATTTTCCGTATAATTGTGGACAATAAAAAGTTTTCAAGTTTAATGGTCTTTTATAAAACAGTATTTTATCATTTTCGTATAATTTAGGCTTCTTTAAATGTTTTAGGTAGAAAATTATATGAGTCTTAAAAATGGCGAATGCGCAGGTATATAGGCATATAGGTTTAAGCAAAAATGGTCCTTCAAATAATCACCAAAATAGAATCGATATCAACAATAAGTTCTAATAAAATTAGAAATTTCTAGAGGAAAATGTTTGAAATTGTTATATTTAAAAGTATTAGTGTGTTTGCCTTGCTTTTTGCGCATGTCCCTCAATTGACAAATTCCATTTATTCAGTATTACTGTGGTTTTCATATTACCGTGGTTTATTGTTTACATTAGTCTTACACGTGTTCAAAAGCAGCCTATAGCACTGCAGAGTTAATGGATATTCTTTTAATTGTAATTTAATTCGTTAATTTTAATAACTACTTAATTAATAGTTTATGAATTTTTATAATACGGTATTAGAAAAAAACATTGAATAATGGAAGTCACTAAGTTAAAGATTTTTTTTTTAATGGAACACCCTATATACCTATTAGTGCACACGTTAAATTTTTATTTTTTCAAAAATATATAATATAGTCCAATTAAATAAGCTTTTAAATCGAAATTTTGGCCTGAATTTTTGATACGAGTTAGTTTGAGGTATATTATAACAATAAGTGACATTGATTTTTTGTTCAACCCCCGGCCAAGGGTGAAAAAAGATAAAACAAAGGAGTTTTTCAAGATAACTCAAAAGGGGGAAAGGCTAGAAAAAAAGTTTCTTATAAAAGTTGTAAAGCATACAATTCTACATGAAAATGACATCTTGTATTATGAAAATTAACAGAGTTAGGGAGGCTAGAAGTTAAGGGAAGATTTTAGAAATTCAAAAAAATCATAAGCATAAAAACGAAT